AAGCACCACTATAGCAATAAAAAAATATGTAATTATAGATTTTCTATTAAAATATTTAGTTTATGGATTAATATAAATATGATAGCTACAAAAGAGGAACTGGAACATTTTTCATTAACAGAATAGTCTCCTTAAGAGAATTATAACTCAATAACAGACTTTGTTTAAATTGTCCCGGCGCCTCCACCAAAATTTTCAATAAGATTGTTTTAATAATTATTAATAATACATCTATATATTTATGAACATCATATTTTCGCAATTGAAACAATAGTTTATGATAAATATTAACTAAACGTTCGTGATTAATAACTAAATACTTCTTTTTGCAACTACATAAAAAATGTGTAACTGTTTCAACTAAACTCTTTTACTAGACGTTAAATTATTTTGACGTAATATTTTGCGTTTTTTTCAAGTATACTGTTTAGTTTCATGTAAAAAAGTTATTTTGATGAGAGAAACGTTTTCTGACTTTCTTTGTAGTTACATTCATAAAGCTGTGATATTTGCTGTATGTTGAGTTGCCTATATATTAAATTCTAAATTAATGTTTAATTGTAAAAAGAAATCATAAATTAGCATCTCCAATTGCATCTACATGAAAATGTATGTTTTAAGGATGAAAATTAATTAATTTACTGTAATGAAACCGCAATTATAACTCAATTACAGCCTTTCTTTTAAATTGTCCCGGCGCCTCCACCAAAATTTTCAACAAATTTTTTAATGATTACTAATAACGTTTGTGTATCTTTACGAACATCTTATTTTCGCCAATAAAACGATAGTTTATAATAAAAATTACCTGGTTATTAACAGCTAAATACCTTTTCAATCAAATTTTTGCAAGATGTAAGGAAATATTACTAAGTAATTAATTATTTATATGTAATCTTTGAGGGTTTTTCAACCATAGTATTAACCTTCAAGTAAACAAATTAAATTAATTTCGCGAGAAAGACGTTTTCTTTTAGAAAGAAAAAAATTCTGACTTTCTTTGTAGTTACATTATTGGAACAAAAATTGTCGGTATGATGGGTTGTCTATATTATATATTATAAATAGTAGTTCATTATAAATATATATATAAATTACCTACCCTAACTGCATCTGCATGGAAATATG